AGAAAAGAAGAGTGAAAAATGCAGTTAAAAAAAAAAAAAAAAGCTGTTATCTTACCTGGCAACCGACATATTACTGCCAGTTTTCTTTGAATCATTTGAATGCCTCAACAGCAATTTGTCTCTTAGCTCGATCATATCAATAAAACTGCGACGTTTACTCGGTGTTGAACGCATTTTTAGAGGTGTTGCTGTAAGATCAAGCTAAAAAAAGGAAATTTGTCAGCATCTCTATTGTTTGTTTGTTTATTTATAAATTAATCAAATTCTTTTTCTTCTTTTTTTTTTTTCAAATTTATCGCTCACTAATACTTCATATTTTGGTACACACAAAACCGATGACGTAAAGCAACTGATTTAATCAGGGAGAGGAGGAGAGAGGGGGGAGGAAGAAGAAAAGAAAAAAGAATAGTTACCTACAGATTACGTACAGATTACGTAAGACAAAACTGAACAATAAGTAATAAGCAAATATAAAATCAGTGCATTTTGACCCGTCGTCGACAAGCCACCAACTAACTGTACTTAAAAAACCGATTACCACAGCTGCTATCCTTCACCATAACCATTAAAAAAGGAAAAAAAAGATGTGCTTCTAGACAAGAAAAACGGTACAAGAATGACGTTTCACGAGATGATTAACCAAGTAGTGATAAGTAATTAACCAAGAAATTTTTGTGTTTAGACAATACTTAACCGATTTTAAGCAAACAAATATATGTACATTAAATCTCTTTCCTTACTCTTTTTTGTCGACTATTTTCTCTTTTTGATCTTTGAATAATTTCTGCTAACTTATTGATAACACACGTTATGACTAATCACTATCAGCACTTATAGTTCAGCTACTAATTACTGCTTCAAAAAATTTTCAGACAAAATCTTTAACTGTCTTTTTCATCTTCAACTTGCTCAACAATAGCGATTTATATAGCAAAAAAGTTCATTTTTAATCAGCTAAACATTTCACGCTTACCAAACCGTCAATTTTTAACAGACTAACTGAATTATAAGTGAAAAGAAGACAAAAACTGGTAATTTTCTCTCAGATTTTATTCACGAATAACTTTAATCATTAAGACAAAAAAAACTGTGTTAGCTATTTGCTTCATCTATCAGTTTTTATATAAGTTTTTCAGAAGCAATTTTTTAACATCACCTTTACGTCACCATATATAACCAATCAATTCATGCTATAAATAGACAACTGTTAGTCATCGACAAAAAAACTAGACAGTAATCTAGTATTTACTATAAAATATTAAAATATACTAAGCAAATTACTTTTTCTTTTCAGAAATCAAAAAAAATCCTACTAAGTGTTCGTTGAACAAATATGTGTAATGTTATTGACCTGTTTTAATGCATCATTTAGTTCTGCACATTTTGTTCGAATTTCCGAATAATTCAGGATTGTATTTTTAACAATTTCATGAATTTCTGCAACCCAAAATTTCATCGACAATCCAAGTGCTCGTCGACATTCATTAATAAACGCTTGAGATTGAGCAACTGCTTTATCCAGATGATGATTGTTCCAGAGCTGAAAGGAAAAAAAAATTTCCTATTTTATAGCTGACTGATTCATGGGTCTTCTTCCCTTTTTTTTGGCACAAAAACAGTAACATCGCTTAGATACCACCAATAACAACATCAACAACAATAATTTTTAATCAATCTATTTAAACTTAATTCTTTGTGCTCATACATTGAGCATAGTAAATAAATGCAGTAAAAAAGAAGAAGAAGAAAGGACAGTTAACCTGATTAGCAGTTATTCAAATATTTAAAACTATAGCTTATTTTGAACACTTGTTAGCACTTTACCGTGATTGTATTCAACAACTGTTACAAAATTAGCATATAAATTTGTTAGCTATAGAAAAAAAAGCAGGAAAACAATTGTCATGTTCCAATCTTTTGCAGCACTGAGTGTCCCAAGCAACAGTTGAGGCCTCTATAACCATTATTGTATACGACTTATTAAGAACTAAAAATTTTAAAGTTAAGCATCAATTCTATTTTCATTCTTTTTACCA